CCCGGCCAGGGCTCGCTCGGTTACGCGACGGCCGGAGAATCGATGCCGTCCGCTCGCCGCCCGCGTTACAGCATCGCTGCGGAGCCAGAGTGAGAAGCGTCGTTACCAAGTCACTCGGAATAAAATTGCTACTAAATGCTGTTTGGGGGGAGAAAGCAAAAAAAAAAAAAAAGCCAAAAAAAAGAGCAGCAAATCCTCACTCTTTCTCGGGCATTGTAGGAAATGAAAACGGCTATTGCTGCCTGGTAGAGAGTCCAATTATGAATAATGTGCGTTCTCTCCCGGCACAAAGGATGAAAGGCATCAGAGCTGGGGGTGACATTTTAAAACCGGAGATGTAAGAGCGAATCCGAGCCTCGTTGCAAAACCCAGCTTTACCCCAATAAAGAAACACTTTCTGCAGTCAATTGCCTCGCAGCGTAGCTTGAAGCCCCGCTATTGATCTAGCATCTGTTGTAAGCAGATAATCATCGTCGCTGTGTCGTGGCTTCTACAACGGGATCTAAAAGCACTTTCCAGAAGATGTTGGAGGGCTGTTTTTCCGCTCTCACCCACAGCTGCAGGCAGAGGTTTGCAGGGGAGCCCAGGAAACTCTTGCAGGTTTGCAAAACTCAAAGGCCAGAAAAAAATTATTAAATCAACTCCAACTCGTTCATCTCCCAACCCTGGCAACTTCAGCTCACCCAGGTGTGCTCCCCACAAGGCTCTGCCTCCCTCTCCAGCCCTCGCACAGCCATTTCATGCCCTGCAATTTCCTTTCCCCAGCGAGGTGCTAACACACCACCATCAAACCGCCGCTCAAATCCTTCCCTTCTGTAAGACAAACAGCGAGAGCTGCTGAAATCCCCCAGCATCAGGCTTTTTTCTCCTGCCCCTAGAAGGTTTCTCAGGAGTTTGGTTCACTAAGGTCTGAATCCCGACAGCTCCCGAGCTCCTGGCTGCTTCCCAGCAGCGTGGGGAGGTTTTGGGCCAGGCATCTTCCTCCCATTTTAGCAAGAAGTGGTCAGAGGTAGGTGAAATCAGGCTGCCAGCACCTGTGAACTTCCCCCTCCCCACCAGCACAGGCACTCTTTATCCACTTGGCAGATTCCTTTAGTCTCCAAAGAAGGAGAAAAGGATGGGAAATTAAAAATAAATGAACCAAGAGATACACATCCATCAGGAGCCAGGCGTTGTCAGCCCAGGTCCCTGTGCAACTACTTCTTTAATCAAAACCTCATGCAGTTTAAACGCTTGACAGAAGTCTAGAACAGAGATCTTGTTACCCTGAACAGGAAAAGCTGCGACCTTGAAGAATAAAATCACATCTGTCTGATGGGGTCCATTTTCTTTAAAATCATGCTAAACTATGCTAAGCCTGTTCCTAACCGTGACATTTGAGGTTTCCCCCTGCAGATGCCTGCAAGAGACACGGGTGTCTCGAGGGGGTCACCGGAGGTGACGGGAGGAGCAAGCTCTCGGGGGGCAGCTGAAGATGGGCCATTTCTAAATCTGTCTGTGACGCCAGCCGTAAATTTTTAAGAGGCTCAAATCAAGGAAAGGACTGCTGATGGCCACGCTCCCCACTTGAAACTCACTTGCGTGGTGATGGACGTCAGACTACCTGGCTCACAGCTACAGCCCTGGCCTGTTTGGTTTTGAGAGGGTACCAGAAACCTCCCCGCTTTCTAGAAACTCCCCGGGTGCCAAGGCTCAGCGAGCTCTTCAAAGCCTCCCGCGTGCAGGTTCTCTGCCTCTCCTGGCTTGAAAATGTTTGTCCCTGAGGAGTTGTTATTTAATACCTTCCTTAGTTACCAAGGGACGGGAAGTTTCTCCCACCGTTCTGAGGCTTTCCAAACACAGATGGGATTTATTGAAGTTTCTATCACTCTGACCTCATTAACGTTTTATGGCACAGCTCCAGCGACGCGCCTACTCCTCGCCGGGTGCCCCTCAACAGCCCCACGGTGGCTGAGGTCTCCCGGCCGCGATGAACATCCTTGGGGAGTTTTAAGCAACTTCATCCCCAAAACAGCTCTGCTGCTGCCTTTCGGGGCCTCGCCTGGGCTGTGTCTCACATGGGATCGTGGCTCCCAGCAGCTCCTTTCGTAACAGCCGCGGTGGGTGGGAAAGCAGAGACAGCATGAGGATGAGAGATGGAAAAAGAACAAAAAGAAAAAAAAACCCAGAGAATAGTGCAGGAACACATCCAAGCTGTGCCACGGACAACATAACCTGGGGGCCACCTGAGGACAGGCAGGATTTTAATTGGCACGGAGCGGGGGGAAGCAAAAGAGGGAGTGTGAGGCCTGGTTTCGGTGGGGAAAAGCAGCGGGGAAACCTGGGGGGACATTCATGGTACCCCCTGGCACTTGCCTGCAGGGAGGAGGTTGGGAATTAGGAGTCTTGAGACCTTTTTTGGAGAGCTTTTCTCCCCTGCGGAGAACAGGAGGGAGCATCAGCACAGCCTGGCTGGAGTCCTGCAAATTGCCCCACTTAGGCTCTGGTCTTCTGAATTGCTCTCTTAACCAAAGTACATAAATCGACCTGAGGAATGTCAGAGTTTTCTCCGAAGCCACACTCCCCCACAGCTTTCGGAGTTTGTGCTTCTTCCCCAAACCTGGCAGGTTTTGTCCCAAAGAAACGAGCACGGTGCTCACCGGGGCAAACGCCTCGCTACGCTTGAGGCCTGGGGATGTGCCTCTCCATCGGCCGAGCATCACTTGGAGATGGGCTTTCCCCACCACAAATTTATTCAGAGACACTGCACAGCGAGGACAACCCGGCGCCAAACTTTGCAAGAGGCAGACCTGGCCGGAGTTCAGCAGAGACGGGGAATTAAGACACTGAACTAAATCAATGCATCCCCACCCCATTTCTAACCCAAATCAGGAATTTCATGCACAGGAGGGGTCTGGACCAGGGTCCCACATTACTCGTTAAGCACAGAGAGCAGAGAGTGCTTGGCACTGCACAGAAATCCAGCCTTTGCACTAAAGCTCCTGCGAGCCCAAACTAATTCAGATGCAGAAGCGATCTCGGCTGCTGGGAAGGAACTCAAAGAGGAAAAAAAAGCAAAGGGAGCCTGTGCAGGGATGCAGAGAAAGAAAGAAGAGCTGCTGGCTAGGTGCAGGCAGGGGACACCAATCATATGGAAAAAAGGATGGCGAGGAGATAAAGGGAAAATCCAGGGATGGCTGGGGCCACTCCTGCTAAAATGCACCCAAGAGTGGGGGGCCTGCTCAGGGCTGCACGTCCCACAGCCCCCCGCAAGAACCTTCTAGCAGTGCCTGGTGTGAGCCACACGCTGGGGGCAGAGCTTGAAAATGCCAGGGAGATGCTGAAGGGCCTGGGCAGAGCAAGCGTATGGATGGAGGCACACGGACTGTGAGAGCCACCCGGCCCGGCTGCAGCCGGGGAAACATCTAGTGCCAGGCTCACCTCCCCAGAGCTTTCCACCAACACACCAGCCCTGGTTCCTCACTGCAAACCCATGCAGAGATGCCTTCTGCTGCCCGGCGCAGGCCCTGCACGTCTTGCTTGCAGTGCCACCTGCTGCCAACGGCAATGCTCTTCAGACACTGGAAGGGGACAACAGCAACGCAGAGCAGTGAACTTCCTGCTGTTACATCAGCCTTCCCTCTCCTTTAACAGCAGCCAAACTCTTGATCCAAAAAAGCCACGCTATTTCCCAAGCTGCAGGCGTCCCACGAGTCGCAGGCGTAGCAGCAGACGCTAATAAAGTACTTTTTTTCTTTTTCTTTTATGCAGTTTCTCACTGGAGCCGGTCTCTCCCCCCAGAGACCACATCCTGAATCTTCTTGTTCATTGATTCTTTATGCTAAATGATGACTCCGCAGTCGAAATAATGTGGCATATTCTAGTTCGCATTTCAGACACCGTGAGACTTTTTAATAACGAGTTGCATGAAAAATTAGGGAGGCTGCAACAAAGAGCTCCGACGGAGGTTTCCAAAGTGACTCACAGCCAGGAGAGCCTCGCTTTTCCAAAGCCCAGCGTGAGACAATCTCAAGAGCCCCCGCGCTCGGAGAGAGCCGAGTCCTCCCCCTCTGGAAAAATAAAGCCTTTTTAAGGAGATCTCCCCAGGATGAGAAACCCTGCGGGGAGGTTTGGCGGGCGGTTTTGGGAATCTTGGCTGAGATGACATCCCATTGCCATAAGCGCTCGCAGGGAGAAGGTTTCACCCTGCACCTCAGCTGTGCTGCTGAGGGTGCTGCAGGGTGGGAGTCACCTCCTGTGGCAGCCAGCCCGGGGTCCCCACTTGCCACAACGGCTCTGCAACGCTCCGAAACAGGGATGGGAAAGATTCTCGCTGCTCTGGCAGGGAGGTAGAGGACCACAGCAGTAAAGGGCAGTGGAGAATCTTCCAGTCCCAGCTCCCAAAGTTCTGTGGCCCCCACTGAGACAGCGAGCATCACCCCTGCACAGGTACCGCTGCTCCTGCTTAGGGCTGGCCTGCTGCAAGCTCTGCAGCTCTTTCCCAGACTTTGCGGCACAATGGAGGGCGAATATCTTCAGGTTAACTTTTGGCTGACTGTTTTTGCTTCCTGCCATCCACACATCCAGCTGCCAACAAATTTCAAGGGGAAGCAGCAGGCAACGTATCTGGCGCAGCCCCCCGCTGGGGGCTAATGCTGTTTATGCTCAGTCCCAGTGGTGACCAGTGCCTGGCTGCTGGACTGGGAAGGATGGGTTTGATTGCTCTGCCCTCTCTCCCAAGCTCAGCTCCTAATTCCTTCCGCATCCCACACTGGCTCCCACCTTCACCTCCTCTGTGACACCAGTGACAGCCACCCCCAGCCCCAGGAGCTCCCTCTGCAGCACAGTTCCCTGCCCACCCACTTCTAACACCTAATAACTGAGCACCACTCAGCCCACCCAGCCTAACAGACGTCCCCAAAAGAGGTTTTTCCTCCAATGTGGCCCAAAGGAGATCCCCCTGTAGCTGGAAAAGGAAAACTAAAAGTAATGAGGGCAGACGGCATGCAAGCAGCTCTTACCACATTCCAGAAGAGCGGGTTGAAGGCAATGGAGACAACGGCTGCGAGGAAGCCAGCGTCGGTCACGTCCACGTAGCCGAAGAGCCGCGCCATGGCTGTCACATCCACCTGGGGAGGGAGAGCCAGTTACTGGGAGGGTGGGTTCCCGGGGCAGCATCGGGCATTGCACCCAAATACAAACCCCAAACCCATCAGGTGCCCCGCAGGAACGGACAAATCTTTAATTGTCCCCAAGCAACACGTTGTTATGGCTTGCAAAGCACTGTGTCAGGCTGTAAAGCCAAAAAGAGGGGTGGGGGCTCCTCCGAGCCGTCTTCCCCCGCACCTGGGGGGGCACCAGGCTCTGTGGGAGCCCCGTGTTTGCAGCAGTGCCCAGAAGGACACGGGTGCCAGGAGGACACTGCTGCTGTGGGGACAAGCACCAGCCCTACGGGGCAGCTGCCAACCCAAGCGTATTTCCAAGCCACCATTTCACAGTGTCCTCGGGGATGGGGGACTGTCCCAGGGATGCTGGTCTGCATGGCAACTCCAAGCAATGACCTGAGTCAGCCTCAAACTTGCCTTCCGTAAAGTAAGAGTGATTCAAAGTGAGGGGGGATGAATCTGCATTGTAAGAAGCTGCAAAAGACCTTCCTGTCTTAATTAACAGCAACAACAACCCCTTAAAGCTTGCTGCTTTTCCCCCTTTCTCCTTTTAAGAAAGAGGTATTTTTCCCAGGACGGCTCCTTGACATTGTCAGCGTTTTTACGTGCAATAAGCCATGCTGTTTCTCCCTCCCCACCCCCTCTCCCTGCAGTGGTATTTGGATGAAAAACAGCCAGCCTCTTTTTTTTTTTTTTTTTTTTTTCCCCAAAAAACTTTAAAAACAAAAAGCAAAAAAGCCCAGCCCAAACCCTTCAACCTGCTGTCTCTCCTAGCCAAGAGCAAAGGACCTGGGAATGGCTCCCACGCTGTCCTGGGACACGTCCAGCCGCTCGGGACACCCATGGTGCAAAGTGCACAAGAACAGGCCGTATCACCCCGGTGAAATGGGGGGGATCCTCACGGGGGTCTGCAGGTGCCTTCAAACCGCCCCAGCTCCCCCGGGCTCCTCCATCCCAGCCCTGGGGATATGGGTGCTGGAGAAGAATGAAAGGAACAGCCCCCAGGGCCTCATCCTGACCCTTCTCCCACTATTTCCACCCTCCCCAGCCTCGTCTCCTCTCCCTTCATCCCCCCAGCAGCCCTTTGCCATCACACTTGGACCCTTCATGCCGTAACCTGGGCACCCAGACAGCCGCCGGCGCCGGGGCCGAACTGTCTGGTCCCGCTTCAATTGGAAACCCGTGGGACCAGGACAGCTTCTTTCCTCTCGTTTCGTACGGTGCTGAGCACACCGCCAGCACGGGCTGAACAAAAGCTTCTTGACCTACTAACTCCTGGCTGGCAACATCATTAGCATTGCTCTCACCTTCTTTTCTCCTCCTCAACAACCAAACTCCGCCGCCGCCAGCGGGAGGCAGATTGGCCTGTGCCTTAGGATGTGCTTTTAGGGATAAAAAGGGAGCCCATTAGGATGAGCTGTCTCTGCAAGCTGCCGGGACGGCCACGTAACAGGCACAGAACATCCAACTTTGCTCCCTCCTCCCCGATAGGTGATAAATAATGGTGGCAAATGCTGGCCCACAGCCCTGAAGTCAGGGAGGGCGAGTCATGCACGGGCACCTGGGTGAGAGCTGCAAGGGTGCCTGGGCAAGTGATGCATGGGCATCTGGGCAAGTGATGCATGGGCATCTGAGCAAGTGATGCATGGGCATCAGGGCATGAGCTGCACAGGCATCTGGGCAAGTGAATCTCAGGCATCTGGGCAAGAGCTGCATGGGCATCTGGGCAAGTGATGCTCGAGCATCTGGGCAAAGAATGCATGGGCATCTGGGCAAGAGCTGCATGGGCATCAGGGCAAGTGATGCACAGGCATCTGGGCAAGAACTGCACAGGCATCTGGGCAAGTGATGCATGAGCATCAGGGCAAAGAACGCACAGGCATCTGGACAAGAGCTTCATGGGCATCTGTGCAAGTGATGCACGAGCATCTGGGCAAGAGCTGTGTGGGCACCCAGACGAGAGCTGCGTGGGCATCTGGGACTCCCGTGCGGTGCCGGTGCAGCCCTTGCCACGTGTCCAGAGCGTGCCGGGATGGAAGCAGGCCAGGGCCGATGGTGGCTGCGGGCACCCAGACGAGAGCTGCGTGGGCATCTGGGACTCCCGTGCGGTGCCGGTGCAGCCCTTGCCACGTGTCTAGAGCGTGCCGGGGTGGAAGCAGGCCAGGGCCGATGGTGGCTGCACCTCAGACACGGGGCACCCCGCACCCCGGGGTGTGCTGCACCCCCAGACACAACCCGGGGCGGAGGGGGTGTTACTGCCATCCCCCTGTGCCAACTGAGCCCCGCGATGACACCGGGAGAGGCCGAGAAGGGGG